AAAAAAAAATGGAAAATGAAAATGTCCCTAACCAGTTCAAAATAAATCAAAATATTTTGAAAACGTTATCGTGTATATAAAATGCAAATATAATCAACCAGTGAAAATTTCATGTATATTCGTTGATTTGTTTTAGAGTTACACCAAAAACCAAAATCGATTTTTTGGAAAACCGATTTTGCGTGAAAATTCCCGTTTTTCCTTAATTTTTATGTTGTTTTTTCCCGGCGCTTGTGAAAACTACTGGGAAATTTATACTTTTGACCCCCCAAAGTACCAACTAGATTCACTTTCCTATCAGAAAAGGTACTATTGAAGACAATCGAAGCACTTTTACTGTCCCAAAACGTGATGACAGACACAAAAATATAAAAATATAAAAATATAAATAAAAATATAAATAAAAATATAAATAAAAAGGTGGGCAAGTGGGTGTCGCTCTGCTGTACAGTAGGTTACAAGTGGGTCACTGTATAATGGATGATATTAAATTTGAATTCAACGATATAATATCATTGTATAAGAAAAACGATTCTGAGCGGAGACGGTATGTCAGTCTATGTATAAGACATATTATATATGTATATAATATGTCTTATAAAACAAAAAATTGACCTATAATAGGTACCTATAATAAATTCCAAATTAATCATATCACAATGTCCATTAGGTACTTATAACGCGTTATACATCAACAAAAACCGTGATACTATCATAGATATATAATAGTACACTTTAGAAGTTTCAAGTACCCACGAATAATATTATTCAATCACAACAAAATAACTAAAATAGTTATTCTAGGTTTTTTAATATGTAATTTCGTCCAAATTTGAATTTAAAATGTCTGTAAAAAATAACTGTGTTCATATATTTTTTAGATTTTTTGGTTACAGTATGAACTATTTATGAGAACCTTTGTTTTAAATTTGCAATCCTTAGCTATAAAAACTGAACATTTTATAATTTTTTAATTCCAACGATTGATAATTTTCGAGATTTTGATAAATTTTGTCAAAATTCCAACTTTAAATGCTTATAAAAAAAAATCGTGCCTATGTATTTTTAATATTTTTCAACTGATATTGTAACAATATATCAGGAGCCTTGTATTAAATTTTTACACTTTTTGGCCCAACAGATAAAACTTTATTGATATTTATAGAAAAAAAAACTAAAAAAAATTGATAGCTGTAAATGTCCATAAACAGCTCAAAAAGAGTCAAAATATTTTCAAAATTGTATGGTGTATAGGAAATGCTAATATAAACATTCAGTGAAATTTTCATGTATCTACGGTTATTCGTTTTTGAATTACAACAAAATAAGGAAATCGCTACATGAGAAATCGAGTGAAAATCCAATGTTGTAAAAATTTGAATTTCAAACGCTCATAAAAATTTAATTTAACTGTCCGGTAGAGATTTTTTTATTGATAAAGGTAGATAATCTTATAAGGAATCTTGTGTTTCATTTTCAAATCTTAGATTTAAAAAGAAAATTTTTACGAATTCTTAACTCAAAATAATTTGCTAATTTTCGTGATTTTTCCATATTTTGTCAATTTTTGAACTTTAAATGCTTATAAAAAAAAATTGTGACTAAGGATTTTTAATATTTTTCATCTGCCTTTGAAACAATATATTAGGAGCCTTCTATTAAATTTTCAAGCTTTCGCAACCAACAAATAAAATTTTATTGCTATTTTTAGAAAAAAAACTAAAAAAAAATGGAAAATGAAAATGTCCCTAACCAGTTCAAAATAAATCAAAATATTTTGAAAACGTTATCGTGTATATAAAATGCAAATATAATCAACCAGTGAAAATTTCATGTATATTCGTTGATTTGTTTTAGAGTTACACCAAAAACCAAAATCGATTTTTTGGAAAACCGATTTTGCGTGAAAATTCCCGTTTTTCCTTAATTTGTATGTTGTTTTTCCCGGCGCTTGTGAAAACTACTGGGAAATTTATACTTTTGACCCCCCAAAGTACCAACTAGATTCACTTTCCTATCAGAAAAGGTACTATTGAAGACAATCGAAGCACTTTTACTGTCCCAAAACGTGATGACAGACACAAAAATATAAAAATATAAAAATATAAATAAAAATATAAATAAAAATATAAATAAAAAGGTGGGCAAGTGGGTGTCGCTCTGCTGTACAGTAGGTTACAAGTGGGTCACTGTATAATGGATGATATTAAATTTGAATTCAACGATATAATATCATTGTATAAGAAAAACGATTCTGAGCGGAGACGGTATGTCAGTCTATGTATAAGACATATTATATATGTATATAATATGTCTTATAAAACAAAAATTGACCTATAATAGGTACCTATAATAAATTCCAAATTAATCATATCACAATGTCCATTAGGTACTTATAACGCGTTATACATCAACAAAAACCGTGATACTATCATAGATATATAATAGTACACTTTAGAAGTTTCAAGTACCCACGAATAATATTATTCAATCACAACAAAATAACTAAAATAGTTATTCTAGGTTTTTTAATATGTAATTTCGTCCAAATTTGAATTTAAAATGTCTGTAAAAAATAACTGTGTTCATATATTTTTTAGATTTTTTGGTTACAGTATGAACTATTTATGAGAACCTTTGTTTTAAATTTGCAATCCTTAGCTATAAAAACTGAACATTTTATAATTTTTTAATTCCAACGATTGATAATTTTCGAGATTTTGATAAATTTTGTCAAAATTCCAACTTTAAATGCTTATAAAAAAAAATCGTGCCTATGTATTTTTAATATTTTTCAACTGATATTGTAACAATATATCAGGAGCCTTGTATTAAATTTTTACACTTTTTGGCCCAACAGATAAAACTTTATTGATATTTATAGAAAAAAAAACTAAAAAAAATTGATAGCTGTAAATGTCCATAAACAGCTCAAAAAGAGTCAAAATATTTTCAAAATTGTATGGTGTATAGGAAATGCTAATATAAACATTCAGTGAAATTTTCATGTATCTACGGTTATTCGTTTTTGAATTACAACAAAATAAGGAAATCGCTACATGAGAAATCGAGTGAAAATCCAATGTTGTAAAAATTTGAATTTCAAACGCTCATAAAAATTTAATTTAACTGTCCGGTAGAGATTTTTTTATTGATAAAGGTAGATAATCTTATAAGGAATCTTGTGTTTCATTTTCAAATCTTAGATTTAAAAAGAAAAATTTTTACGAATTCTTAACTCAAAATAATTTGCTAATTTTCGTGATTTTTCCATATTTTGTCAATTTTTGAACTTTAAATGCTTATAAAAAAAAATTGTGACTAAGGATTTTTAATATTTTTCATCTGCCTTTGAAACAATATATTAGGAGCCTTCTATTAAATTTTCAAGCTTTCGCAACCAACAAATAAAATTTTATTGCTATTTTTAGAAAAAAAACTAAAAAAAAATGGAAAATGAAAATGTCCCTAAACAGTTCAAAATAAATCAAAATATTTTGAAAATGTTATCGTGTATAGAAAATGCAAATATAAACAACCAGTGAAAATTTCATGTATATACGTTCATTTGTTTTAGAGTTACACCAAAAACCAAAATCGATTTTTTGGAAAACCAATTTTGCGTAAAAATTCTCGTTTTTCCTTAATTTTTATGTTGTTTTTCCCGGCGCTTGTGAAAACTACTGGGAAATTTATACTTTTGACCCCCCCAAAGTACCAACTAGATTCACTTTCCTATCAGAAAAGCTACTGATGAAGAAAATCCTTTGAAGGAAATGAAGAAAAGCACTTTTACTGATGTCTGGGATTTGAACTCGATACCGTTGTCTTTATTTACTCTATTGTGTATTATATTATATTGGTTGCTATTGGTTAATCGGGCATGTTTGTTGATTTGTATTATTATTTTTTGTAAATATATCTTATATATAAATGAATGACGGCGTGTAGATTAGACCTATGGGAAGAAGATACGCTAATTTAAAAAGGGTTAAATTTGGTTTTTTTTATTCATCGGATTTTAGTATGGTTAGGTCAGGTTAGGATTTATAGGTATGTGGAATTAAGTAAAAATGTCAAACTTGGTATAACTTTGGTACTTTTTGAGTTGAATCAACTTACGTACAAATAGCACGGGGTCCGCGATCTACCACAGGTAGATTGCCTACCTGATAATATACTGCTGCGAAACAGAATTTTTATTCCGGGCAACAGAAAAGTTAAGATAAATATAGAACATCATACAACGAATATTAAATAACGCATTGAACAATGTTTGAGTCATATAGAGTTGGTACATTTAACGGGAAACGAAGCTATATTATTATATTAATGCAGTCACACCTAACTATCCTGTGATAAGCGCGTATATCGAGTTCGAATCTCGGATGAGAAAAATTTTATTTTTTATTTTTTTATTTTCATAACGTAACGCTTTATGTAACGCAACGTTTTTCGATTTATAATACACTGATTTCACGGCAACCAATAATTATTATTACAATAGTTTTAAAACCCATTTCAACCATTTATAAACAAATAATAAATAACGTAACGTTTCTTTGTAACGTACCTAACGTTTTTCGATTCTATGTGCCAAAGCAAAGACATAAAATGTCAAAAACACATAATATTTTATATTATATTATCCTTGCAAAATCAATACATTCACTAGGCTCAGAAACCAAAAACATGTATCGTGTTGTTAAAGAAAGAGTATATCTATCAGTATAACTATTCGTTTCTATGTAAACCAAAATGTTTACACTATTATGTAAAAAAATATAATTGCCAAACGTAAACTTCAGTTTTTACGAAGATGATATTATACCTACATATATTTTATTCCGATCCTTCAATTTTTTTACATTATCTAATTAGGTATATTGAGTAAATAGTTTTAACATAATATATAATTTTTTAACCATAATAGTATCATGAACGGTAAGTAAATACATACAATATTTAACAACTGTACATCGTTTTGACTAAAAAAAATTATGCACATTGCAGAACTCATTAAGAAAAGCGACGGTGAAGACTCATACAGACGTAGGCTGACCCGAAAAGTTTCTATGCACACTCTAAATGGCTTCAACGAACTCCGACTGAACGTCAAACTCTGCGATGCGTCATTGATACTTGATAGCGGTGAAATATTTCCGATACATCGATCAGTGTTGAGCGGTTCAAGTGATTACTTTAGGTAAGTACATGCAGTCTGTGGCCCACTTGATAGTCACCTTATTTATGCTAGACTCCATTCCCAAATTACAAGAAAAGATCGCTATAAAACATTGTCTATTTCATTATTTCATAAAATAATTGTTGACACTTTTTTTTATAATATATTCTGTTTGCAATAATTTTTCAATAATAACTACAAATAATATACCTATTGGCTATTTGTATTAAAAACTTAAGATTTTTCAAATGAATTTTGAACGTTTTTATTGTTATTAAACAAACTCTAAATTGCGTAGTTACCTACCTGATATAGTAATATACCTTTGAAATAGTAGGGTAGTTATTAGTGTAGGTAATAATAAATACTCTACAGTAATATGTGTAGGTAGAAAGTAGGCACTTGTCGTAATAACTAGCAACTCATTTGATTACAATGTCTAATATTGTGAGTAAAGTTACTAGTAATGTTTTTCCAATGAAATATCGAAAACAATATTTTTTAGATATTTTTCATTAAACACCTAACTAGAGTGGTTTTTCTACTATAGTTTTAAATTAAAATTTGTTTTTCTTACCTTTCATTAATGTAATAAAATATTTCAAAAAAATAAATTTCATGACATTTCAGAACTCTAATTGTGAGTTATATAATTTAACATTCTAACCATATAAGTAATTTAATTTTGGCATTAAAGTATTGTTGTACAGATAGTTCAAAATTCAGTTTTTACAATAATATCCAACAATACAAAATTCGTTCAAACAATTGTTAATTTAGCAGTTAAATATTGTAGATACCTACCTACGTCCTACCTATTTAATATTTTCATCATTATAATTGAATTAAAACTAAAAAAGGTGGACAAGTGGATGTCGCTCTGTTGGACAGTAGATTACAAGTGGGTGACTATATAATGGATGGTATTATATTTGAATTCAATGATATAATATCATTGTATAAAAAACGATTCTAAGCGGAGACGGTATGTCAGTATAGGTATAAGAAATATTATATACATATCTATGGTATTAAAAAAAATTGAGATATAATAGATATAAGATACCTATAATAAATTCCAAATTAATCATATAACAATATCCATTAGGTACTTATAACGAGTTATACATCAACAACAAACCGTGATACTATCATAGATATATAATAGTATATTTTAGAAGTTTAAAGTACCCACAAATAATATTATACAATCACAACAAAATATCTAAAATAGTTAATCTAGGTTTTTTCATATTTAATTTCGTCCAAATTTGAATTAAGGCTGCTGGAGCATAGAATATTTTAAGTAGTAAAATTTAGGAAATTGTGCAAAAATATCATTGTCAAATATTTGTCATTGTGTGTGTAGTAAAAGTACCTTGGTGGGTGTAATCCATTATCTGGGCCATTATCATAAAAAAAACGTTAAAATCGGTACAAAATAGCTATAAACGGAAGATTAGTTTATGTAATTCCTGATGTCCGATTATTATTTTTAAAATATTTATTAACTCATCATCCATTTTACTAGGTTATGTAGGAAAAATAATTGATGGTTCAAAACTGAATGTATACCGAGGTGTATAAAATAATCATTTTTTCATATTTTTCTTTAAATTTTAACATATTTTTTAAGCCTTAGATATTGAAGGCATTGAATACAAAAATCAAAAAACCGTTTCCTACATAAACTAAAAAAGGAGATTATGAGTTCATACATATTTTTAAAATAATAATTGTACATCAGGTAGTAAGTACAAAAATTAATCTTCCGCTAATTAGTCTAAAACTACAAAAAAATACGATGTGATCCAACAGCCAAATTACTATAAAAAAACTGTCATTATGTATTTTTTAGATTTTTTGGTAACAGAATTAACTACTTACGTAGAATCTAGTTTTAAATTATCAATCTTTAGATATAAAAGTAGAACATTTTATACATTTTTAACTACAAATTAATTATTCAATTTTAAATTTGATAAATTTTGTCAAAATTCAAACTTTCAATGCTTATAAAAAAAATTGTGCCTTACAAATATGTATTATTAATATTTTTCAACTGCTATTGTAAAAATATATCAGGAGAATTATATGACATTTTTACACTTTTTATCTCAACAGATAAAACTTTATTGATATTCATAAAAAAAAAAATAAAAATTTAAATATAAAATTGTCCAAAAACAGCTCAAAACAAGTCAAAATATTTTGAAAATTTTATCAAGTATACGAATTAATAAAATAAATATTCAATGAAATTTTCATGTATCTACAGTAATTTGTTTTTGAATTATAACAAAATAAGAAAATCGCTACATGAGAAATCGAGTGAATATCCAATGTTGAAAATATTTGAATTTCAAACACTCATAAAAATTTATATTTGACTTTCTTATAGAAATTTTTTTTGATAAAGATAGATAATCTTATAAGGAATCTTGTATTACATTTTAAAATCTTAGATTTAAAAAGAAAAATTTTATGTATTTTTAACTCAAAATAATTTTCTAATTTTCGTGATTTTTCCATATTTTGTCAATTTTTGAACTTTATATGCTTATAAAAAAAAATGTGACTAAGGATTTTTAATATTTTTCAAATGTCATTGTAACAACATAGTAAGAGCCTTGTATTAAATTTTCAAGTATTTTTACTCAACTTATAAAGTTTTATCGACATTCATAGAAAAAAAAACTAATACAATTGAAAATTGAAGAACATTTTCAATGTTCCTAAACAGCTCTAAACAAATCAAAATATTATGAAAATGTTATTATGTATAGAAAATTCAAATAAAAACAACAATGAAAATTTCATGAATATATACGTTCATTTGTTATGGTCCAAAAAAAATCAATTTTCTGGAAAACCGATTTTGCGTAAAAAATCTCGTTTTTCGTTAATTTTTATGTTGTTTTTTCCGGGCGGTTTTGAAAACTATTGGGAATTTTAAAATTTGACTTCCCGAATGCACCAACTATATTCACTTTCCTATCGAACAAGATACTGTTGAAGAAAATTGAAGCAGTTTTACTACCCCAAACCGTGATGACAGACCCCCAAAAAAAAAATAAATAAAAAAAAAATTGCTCTGTTGTACAGTAGGTTACAAGTGGATCACTGTATTACCATCTGAATCTTTACATTTTAGTTTTATAAATAAAATATTTAATAAAGCGTACAAAATTTTTACATTGTATTAAGCATATTAATATATAGGTGTACTTTTATTTTTGTTTAAATATCTTGTTTTAGATTCTGACAGAAACTATGTTGATTTTGTGTCTGTCATCACCTTTTAGGACAGTAAAAGTGCTTGGATTTTTTTCAACAGTATCTTTTCTAATAGGAAAGTGAATCTAGTAGTTACTTTAGGTGGTTAAAAGTAAAAATTTCCAAGTAATTTTCAAAAGCGCCTTGAAGAACAAAAGACAAATTAAGGAAAAACGGGAATTTTTAGGCAAAATCTGTTTTCGAGAATATCGATTTTGGTTTATGTGCAATAATTCTTAAACAAATGACCGTAGGTACATTAAATTTTGACTGAATGTTTATATTAGCATTTTCTATACACCATAACATTTTTCAAATATTTTAACTTATTTTGAGCTATTTAAAGACATTTTCAGTTTCCATTTTTATTAGTTTTTTTTTTCTATAAATATCAATAAAATTTTATTTGTTGGGTACAAAAGCTTAAAAATTTAATGGAAGGCTAATAATATATTTTTTCAAAGATAAATGAAAAATGTTAAAAATAGTACTATAGTCATATAAATCAGAAAGAAAAATTAATTAAAATAAGTAATTACACAGTTTGTGATGGGATCAATCTATGTCGTGTAACGTGTTTCGATAGATGATTGATAACCGTGATAGTAATATGATGACCCAGATTTTAAAGTTAAAATTGACAAATTGCAAGAGAAAATTTAACATAGGCAGCTGGCAGATTATTACTTGTAACTTGGAGATGTAAGCTCACAACCTAATAATGCAGGCACAGTTATGGAAATTTATATAAATATTAATCAAAACCACGACAAATTGGCATGTACCAGTTGCAAAAAAAAGTACATTTATTCTTTATACCAATTCCCCTCAAACTACCTAGAGCAAAATGTAATAGTTGCCCTTATATGTTAATATATACACGATTAAAATAAATAGCCCGTAAAATACTGGAGGTTAACATACAAATAATAAATAAAATTATTTATAAAAAGTTGCTCTGCTGTACAGTAGGTTAGAAGTGAGTCACTGTTTAATGGATGGTATTAAATTTGAATTCAATGATATAATACCATTGTATAAAAAAAACGATTCTGAGCGGAGACGGTATGTCAGTCTAGGTATAAGACATACTATATACATATATATGGTATTAAAAAAAATTGAGATATAATAGATATAAGATACCTATACAAAATTCCAAATTAATCATAACACAATATCCATTAGGTACTTATATATCAACAACAAACTGTGATACTATCATAGATATATAATAGTATATTTTAGAAGTTTAAAGTACCCACAAATAATATTATACAATCACAACAAAATAACATATAAATAATAAATATATTACATACAATTAAATATATTTTTTAGATTTTTTGGTAACAGAATTAACTACTTACATGGAATCTTGTTTTAAATTTTCAATCCTTAGATATAAAAGTTAAACATTTTATACATTTTTAACTACAAAATAATTATTCAATTTTAAATTTGATAAATTTTGTCAAAATTTGATCTTTAAATGTGCTTATGTATTTTTAATATTTTTCAACTGCTATTGTAACAATACATCAGGAAGGAGCCTTGTAATTAGTTTTTTCACTTTTATAATACCCATAAAAAAAATGAAAGTTTTTTTGGTGATTTTGCAAATGCCCTTAAACAGCTAAAAAACGTCAGAATATTTTGAAAACTTTATCAAGTAAAAGAATTCATAAAATAATCATTCATTGAAATTTGAATGTATCATTCGTTGTTGAATTATATCAAAATAAGAAAATCGTTACATGAGAAATCGAGTGAATATCAAATGTTGTAAAAATTTGAATTTCAAACGCTCATAAAAATTAATTTGACTAAAAGAGTAGAGAAAAACCTAAATGTTTTATTTTTTTGTATTTTCATTATTATTTCATACATAATGTATTGTAGAATATTAGATGACCATAATACTTTATTATGGTCAGTTAATGTACAGTCCGATTGCTCATTTTATGGCAATAATTAACATAAAAGTGTAATATTTTAAACGTGTACTGTACATGATATGTTTTTTAGAATACTTTTCACCACTACATTACACGAAGGAGAATACACGAAAATACATTTGAAATCAATTGAAGATACTACGATGGATCAGGTCCCAGACATTCGACGATAAATTCGTGACAACGTTGCACTAAGCCGTCTATGCACAAATAGTCAGCTGTCCGCATTATATCCATTACGTTTTCATAATTTATGTAAATTTGTGTCATGTAAATATACTGTAAAATAAATTCCATCGTACTATCCTCAATTTATTTTACAGTATATTTACATGAGACAAATTGACATAAACTATGAAAACGTAATGGACATAATGCGGACAGCTGACTATTTGTGCATAGACGGTTTAGTGCAACTTTGTCACGAATTTGTCGTCGAATGTCTGGGGCCTGACAATTGTGTAACCGTGTTACAATTTGCTGAGTATGTGTACCTAGTAACAAAAAAATCAAATACATCACTACAATCCCACGATAATATTTGATATTTATATTAACAGGTACCCAAAAATAACATATTCTATAGTAATAATATGTCATCCGGCAGTTACTATTACTTTGGAGAGTTGACGAATGTGGCATACAAATATATCATCAAAGAATTTATGACCATTGCAGAACAAGGTGATGAAACTCCGACAAGAAGAATTCAAACAAATAATCAAAGACAACCAGTTGAACGTTAAACGGGAGGAGTTTGTCTGGGACGTGCTGCTGAAATGGGTGGACAAGGACCCTGAAAATCGTAAAAACGATCTGTTGTTTCTGCTGCTTTAAGTCCGTTTTGGCCTCATGGACTCTAAATATTTCATCGAAAACGTAATGATAATAATATGCTTTAATTTTTACACGGTGGTCGGTACCGGTGGGCGGTGACTGGTTCGTTATTCCCATATACCAAAATATTGTTTACTGTTTCCGTTAAAAAAATTTTAAAACTAAAGATTTAAAATATTAATTTCAATTTTGTATATGCATATACTATGCCAAGTAACACTACATGCATTAGATCTTTAATTTTTTTAAATAATTGTGAATACCTGTTAATTTAACAAAACAATAGTTAATTATAATATTATTATACCTATAATTTTCATCAAATACAAGAGTTAATAAACCTATATTTGCCATATTATAATAATTAGTATTTGTGCTTTTATCCACCTAAATAATTCATTAATACCTGTTTTTGAACTATTATAAATGGTTCCCGAACAATATTTAGAATAAAATGTTTTTCAAAATAATTTATTTTTGGTGAAACGGGAATTATTTTTTTTTTTATTTTTGAGAAAACTAGCTATGGTCTTGTAACTGGAAATAAGGACCATTATCGTATCCCCACATCATTCCTTTACAATTATGGTGTATTAATTAATAATTATCATGTGGCAAATCGTTCATACCTAATATTATTGCAGGTCAAGGACCACTATTATATACAAAATCGGGATGATTGTAGGCCTTACATAATTGAGACCCTGAAGTTCATGTACGATCTACAGTTGACGTCGAGTGTAACAAATTCGATAGCGCCGACGCTCGCACGTCCATCGGTCGGACTTTGTGTCGTATATAGCAAAATCATAACATAATAACATTATTATACAATTACATTTGTAATGACTAATATTTTTTTATCATTACAATTTAATTATTGCGCCATTAAAATATTGTTTTAATAATATTTTAGTATTATTTTTTGGCCGGGGTTTGATTATTTTTATAACGTTCCAAACATAATAATATAATAATAATCAGGGTTCGGGACTTATAGCACTAAAAAGCACTAAAATATGCGCTTATATATGACCCAATAAACTTAAAAATATGCACTAAAAATGAAAATAATATGCACTAAAAAATTAAAAAAAAAATTAAAAATCATTAACAAAAAAGATTTATTTGATATAATATGTATTAATAAATAGGTATATATAATATATTAATTTTTTTATATTTAAAAAAATAAAAAAATTTGTAATTTAAATCTTAGTGCCTTTGTGATTTGCATGAACTATTAGATGTTTTCGAACATTTTCGAACTGGAAGGCTCTTCTATTATCGGCTAGATTACACTTATATGCCGAAAATGAACGTTCCAAGTCCGACGGAAGTAATGGGAGCATACTTGAAAAATAACAGATCATTACATGTTAGATCTTCTGCTATTGAACGAAGATCCATAGACTCTCCTCCGGTGATAATTTTACATATTTGTTTGTTAAACCATAACTCAGATAACTACATGGTTTTCGATTTGTTGAGTAGGTATTTATAAATCAAGTGCACGTACTACATTTTTGTGACAGATAGCTACACAAATAGTATTACTACAAAACAAATTTTCGCAATTAATCGTTCAACATTTTAATTAATACATTTTGAACAATTATATTAACCATCAATCATCAAAAATCGTCGAATAAGCAAAAAATATGCAAAAACCTTTAAAATATGCAAAAACCCCCAAAATATGCAAAAATATGCAAAATAAAATTTCATATTTTAATTCTCTGTACTACAAAACGTATTTGTAGATCACTCTGCTATGTTTTACATCACCTATGATGGATATGCAAATGCTATAAGTCCCGAACCCTGATAATAATACAAACATAATATTTTTTTTAACAGCTAAAAAACATTATTTTATAGCTAAAAAACTGAGTTTGAAATTGTTTTGTAACTACTTTTTCAATTTTCAAATTAGTTGTAATTTAACTTTTTATAGTGGAATCTAATAAATTAATAACTTTTTAATATTAATTTATGATATTTAATTAATATATTATATAATATCTGGGCTTATATTAGTCACTTATAACTTATACTTAATTTATAATTATGATGTTTGCTAGTTTATATCATTTTAAAAATAATTTACCCTCTGCAGATATTTTAACTATGTAAATATTTAAGAAAGTAAGCAAGAAAAATAAGAACAGTTACCAGTAACAGTAAAAATAGATAGATGGAAAAAAAATAAGTAATACAATTAAAAAAAACTACATGAAATAATATGTTAGTATAATGTGTCATTATTAAATATATGTATAGTAACTAAAATGCAGTGTACATATAATTATATATATATATATATTGTAAGTGAGCCTTATTCACAATAATACTATTTTTTCTTCCTAAATGCTGCACCGGCTAAGTAGATTTTCATTGGTCCCTCAATTTCACAGTTGGTTACATTTTCGAATGCTTTGATTTTTCTTACAGCTTCTAACATGGAAAACAATAAATAATCACATATTAATAAAATAATAAATGGCAATAATTCACAATAATGGTCATTTACAAACAAAAATAAATATGACCAAACAATTAATAAATAGTAGCTTTTTAAACTAAGAAATTTATTGAAAGAACTTATAAAATAATAATAGATGATCAACATAATTTAAAAATTTTTAATATATTTCAAAAACATAATAATATTTACAAAATTAATGGGTATAAAAAATCATATATTATATAAAATAATTTGATGAAACTACCTATCCAAATATATATAATGTAATATTCAGTTTATTTATTTCAAGTAATTTAATTAAATGGTTGTTCAAAAATATCTTCATTTAGAAAATCATTCAATAGAAATTTTAATATTGATTATGGAAGGGAAAAAAAACTATCGAGTATGTATTGTTGGGGTTAAATTCACTATTAAGTTATGTTTACATAAAATATGTTTCAAACTATTAGAAATGTATTTTTATAGAAAGTAAAATAACACCTCAACCAGGTGTTAATAATTAACAAATCCCTAGCAGAAGGAATCTTCCCCTCTGTTTGGAAATGTAGCCGTGTTACACCTATTCTAAAATCGGGGGACCCTACTTATGTCACTAACTATCGGCCTATTTCTGGTCTACCATTCTTAGGGAAAATGTTTGAATCGATTGTTCTGAAGCGTATCCAGCGTCCACTCTTGTCAACCATCTCGGTTGACCAACACGGATTTTTTTCCTAGTCGGTCAACATCTACTAGTGCAATTGATTTTGTATCTTTTGTACATGATGCTTTTTCAGCTAGGCGGCAAGTTGACGTTGTTTACACAGACTTCTCAAAAGCTTTTGATTCGATTGATCATAATACACTGATATATGTCTTGGATCGGTTAGGAATTGGTGACCCACTCCTAACCTGGTTGAGATCTTATCGGTCTGATCGAGTTCAATTTGTTAAATTATTTGGTATGAAATCTAAATCATTTAAAGTTTTATCAGGTGTTCCCCAAGGTAGTCATCTAGGCCCCCTGCTATTTAATATATTTATTAACTCTATTTGCTCGGTCATTTCTCCAGCGAGGGTCCTGTTATTTGCAGATGATGCTAAGATATTCCACACAGTGTCGTCCACGGAAGACTGTCAAATACTTCAAAGAATTCTGGTAAAACTAACAATCTGGTGCGACATTGTTGGGCTCTCCCTAAATATTACCAAATGCAAAGTTATGTCATTCTATCGTACTAGAAATATTATAATGTTTGACTATTCTCTCAATGGTCTACACCTGGATCGTGTTGACAAAATTATTGACTTAGGTTTCCTTTTTGTCCCATCTTTAGATTTTCGTCCTCACATTGATCACATAGTAGGCAAAGCTGTGTGCATACTTAGTTTTATTAGACGACATTCTGCGAGTTTCAATTCTCCAAAATGTCTCTCAGTGCTCTATTGTGCGCTAGTACGCTCGGTACTAGAGTATGGTTCTATTGTCTGGGATCTGTATACCGTTGGTGATATACTTAGACTTGGCAGAGTGCAGAACAGGTTTTTGAATAATGCTGGGTACTTCCTAAACATTTCTCATCCACCCCATGACTATCAACCAATAAATGATATTTTATGTCTCGAGTCACTATCAGTTAGACGTCAGCCACATAGTTACCGATTTATTTCTGGGCTATTAAATGGGAAAATTGATGCACCTCGATTATTAGAGAAACTTAATATCCATGTTCCTAGCAACACTCGATACCAGGGCACGTTCTACCTACAAACAGATTGGTCCAACTATGCTGCCAATGCACCCCTCCCTAGACTGATGCGTGTATACAATTTATATAATTTGTGACAATTTCGTGCCTGGGTCCTTTATTTTTGTTTCACCATATTATTGGTTTTTGCTGTCTTACTATATTTAATACTGTTATTATGTCTTACTATTTTAATATTGTTATTATTTTGTATGTAATTACTTTGTATAAAAGCCGATTGGCGTTAATCATTATAAATAAAAATAAAAATAAAAATAAAATAAAATAAATGAATAATTATTATATAAGCTAATTATTATAAAGTTGGCGAACCTATAACTAATAACTATTAGAACACATTTTAACATAATCTAAACAATTTCTTACCAATAATTATAGAGCATAAACCTAAAGAAGAAAAAATCTTTATTTTTCTGTCCAACAAAGCTGTAGGTACATTTGCAAGATATCATCCTCAAAAATTTTTCTTAGCATTTGCCTTATAGTTCCTGCTAATGTCTTCTTTGCTAAACGTTTGAGGCCATTAACCTATTTAATTAATTTATAACTATATAAAAATATATTTTTTATATTATAATACTTTTTAATTGTTAATAATATATACTCTGCAAAATTACTTACAACATTCCTTCTAAAATGTTTGTTTAACAACTTTGTCTCAAATTCATCTAATTGATCTTCATTTTCAATAGGTAGTAATGAATCATATTCAAATAATTCTTCAGAAGTATTTTCATTATCTTTATTTGCTCGAAGCACAGTTTCAGTTAATGTTTTGTCTATCTGAAATTGATTTTGTGCAATTGTCTCTACATCGTATTTCATTTTTAACACAACTCTTAAAATTTTATTCATTATATCTGAAACAAACACGATATATGATGCTCTTTAAATATAAGATTTATCACACAGAAGTTAATATACTTTAAGTATAGACCATTGTTGACCTTACCATTTGATTCAGAAGTTTGTGATAAGCAGTTATTTTTTAATTTGAGTGTGTTTTGTGTATTACTAGACACCTTTTTAAACGATGACTGCAGTAAATTGACACCTATAAACAAATTTAAACAACTTTAACTTAATTTTAAATAACAAAAAAATAGAAGTTAACATTATATGTTATAAATAAAAATAATATTGTATTAATAACTAATTTTTATTACCAGCCAAGTCCAGTAATTCATAATTCGGGTAATCACTTGAATCATCTTGTAAATTAGCTTCGGAAACTTTAAAAGGAGATGACGACGTGTGGATAATTCCAGTACTGGGGGCTCTTTTAGACTCATATACTATATATAAATATAACACATACATTATTAGTATAAAAATAATTTGTGCCTATAAATATTACAATTAAAATTTCAGTTTTATTTTAAAAATTATTTCAATTTACCAATTTTTGGACTTGATGTTTCAGATTCACTCCGAGATATGTTAAGCAAATTATGTTTTTCACGTGTAATTTTAGAACCTGATAATCAAACAATAATCAATAGAAATGTGTTTTTTGAATATTGTAGAAGTGAATTAAACAAACTAAATAAACTATAATTTTATACTTATATTTACCTTTGATAGAAGTTACTGACACGGACAAATTATTTACATCAGACTCATGATCATGTCTATTTGATGTATTAATATTATGCTCTCGAGGTAATGCAATAATTAATATAAAGATTAAATACAATTAAATTAAATAATTTCACAGAGTAAAACTAAAATATATCTTTTTACAAGTAAAATAATGTTTTATTTGAATTTTTTAAAATACCTGCAATAGGACTGAATGAGTTTCTATCAAAAAGCTTTCTTTTTGCTTTTAAAAGTGTCGTGTTCAAAGGTAAACTGTAACTTGCATTTTTACTGTTTGATTCATATTTATTTTTATGTCCTTGCTCGCTATCAACATCTATAACATTTATAATAAATAATGTGTATGTACATTAACATATAATTTTTAATTACAATATATACCTAATTGGCTAGGAGATGAAGGAGATGAGTTTCTATCAAATAGTTTTCCTTTTGCATTAAAAGGTAAACTGTAACTTGCATTTTTATAGTTTGATTCATATTTATTTTTATGACCTTGCTTGCTTTCAACATCTATAACATTTATAATAAATAATGAGTATGCACATAAACATAATATAATTTTTTATTACAATATATACCTAATTGACTAATAGATGAATGATTAATACTATTAGAATTTTTCTTTTCTTTAAATGTTAAATGACCTAAGCTGTGACTATGTGATGTAGTTTCATGAGTATCCTTTTTTGTACCATTAGATTTGGGTGAAACACCTGTATAATGTATAAGATGTTTATCATAATTCATAATTTCCAAAATGTACACAAATTGTGTAAATAAATGAAGTATTATTTCAATACAATCATATTTTTATTTTATAGGTTCTGATGTGTAAAAAATAATGTATTGAATTTATAATTACAATATTCAAATGCTCTGTTGTAAAGCATTACCTAAATATACTGTAACAACTTAAACTAACAAATTAAATAAATTAAATAAGTAGTCAATTTTAAACATACTTCTGTTATAGGAATAAATTGGCGGATCTGTTACTTTTGATTTGCCTGCACGAGATTTTGAAATCTCATCATCACAAGTAGATAAGTCTGAAGTATACTCGGCCTATTTCAGTTTCGCTCTAGCTTCTGTTAGAGTAGCTAAAAAATAATAATTAAAATTAGGAATTATTATATATATTTAGAAATGCAATATATTTAGAATAATGACTTTTTTTATTTTAATGACAGTAATAATTATTAAACTGAATAACTAATGATAAGTATGAAATATAATAAATTATAATATGTTAGTAAAAATAATAATAGCCAATTTACCAATATTTTTCTTTAACGTTCTTGATACAAAATAGTTGAAATCAAATTTGTTGGCTAATACTCTGCGTTCAACATTTTTTTTTACATATTTTTTGGGCCAGGCACAAACATTATTTTTAACCCAGTGTGCTGGAACGACTTCGACAGTATTTTCATTTTCAAATAATACTATTGACCACATATTTATACAAACTGAAAAAATGTAGTTATTAAAAGTATTTAAAAGCGTGGTTCTAACTGTTATAGTGTTATCAGTAATAATAGTAATTTTAGTATATTTTGTTTATTGTATACAATATAGCTATAATGTGTTATTACTACAATAAGCATCTGCAGTTATACATATTTAATTTAATACATTATTATGGTTATTTATTTATAAAAAAAGTTCATTTAATATTACAATGAAAAAAATAGGTACCTATTATATTTTGAATCACCAACCAAAAATCATACAATTCACATATTTTCTTATCTTCATACTTATATTTACCTTTAGTTACTAAACATTTACCTAATATATTTACACATACAAAATTTAAATTTAAAAAAATGAATAAGTTTATAAATATACCTAACTAAGAATTATTAAATATATACATATTACTAAAACAAACAAAAATTGGAAAATTTAATTTAAAATAAATGTTTGATTTCTAAATGTCATGCAAAAGGTGTACAACAATCTGTTCATTTTTGTAAAATAAAATCATAACTTTTTTTTAATATCTTTAACATTCCAGCACATTAAATTTTTAGACAAATGTTTAACAGAAAAAATTCCTAAATGTGATGATTTAATAGGATGAACATAAAAATCTGATTTTTCCTTGAATTTCCTGCCAATTAAAACTATATTTCCAGTGTTTGTAGAATGTGCAATATTAATTAATTTAACAATTTCATTATTAATTGTACAAAAATATGAGTCTGCGTCCACATTGGTTTTTAATTTGTAATTTCCCAAAATTAATGTACTAAACTGTGGATCCGTCACTAAATTATTTATCAGAGGTCCCTTGTTATGTGGTCCTAATAATAATCCTTCATTATTGTTTATAATATTACATTTTTTTTTTAAATTACTGGTTGATTTTTCTCCTTTTTTATATCGTATTATAACCTGCTCCAATGGTTTATGAAGTTTTCTAATCATACTCTTTAATACTTTCATGTAGTTTTCAAACGAAAACGTACTACAATTATCGAGGTCCATATCTATCATAATCATCCATCAAATGAAGTAAGCCATGAATATTTGGTGCCATGTACATTTGGCCATATATTTGTTCAGAGGACTTGACAAAATATTATAAGTTATAACAAATCATGAGCATATTGTTTTAAAGAAACATGCTGAGGACTTAGAAGTATCGTCATTGCTATGCTAAGAGCCTTAAAATGTTTGTAACAATCATCAGTTATAATATCTTTTAAAATAACAAAACCATAATATATTAAAATCGATCTAAATTCTGTTGCTTTAAATCGAGCTACTTCTTCAAATTTTCTTGGTTTTCTTGAAAAATCACAAGGAAAATCTGACTTTAAGTTAATAGCTAAATCTGATAACTCCCTAATTTTCCATGAAGGCAAGCGCACATTTGATGGACCATTCATCCATAAAAAAAGCAGTTTTTTGGTCACTCCAAGACATAACATATGCATATAATCTAAAGAAAAGTCGTTGATAATATCAAACATAGGTAATTCAATAAGTATAGAGATATCAGTATTGGGCAAATGATGATCATTTGTTAATTTGTCTGTATAACCATTATGTGTCTTATTTGGTGGTCTTTTGTGTAATTCGCAATAAGGAAAAACAGTTCTATTTTCTATACGCTATCCTTCAATTTCACATCGTGGGCATGAATTATATCCAGTATGGGATTTAATTTTTAAAACGAACGACCTTGCTGGCATATCACAACAAATTGCATCAATTTTAACTTTGTACAGTTTATCTTTCAGTTGAATACCATTCAATACTAAATATTTTGCTTCATCTACAAAATCTTTTAAGTAGTCATTGCTGTCTGAAGGTTTTTGGTTCCCACAGTAGAGTCCCACAGGAAAAACGAGATCAGATTTTGGTCTTATGTAAGCCAAAATTGGCCAAAACTGTAGAGAAGAGCTTTTATGAATGGGAAGTCCATCAATACCAATAACAAGTTTTAATTCTTGCTCTAAAATACAATTATTATAATATGGTAAATGACGAACAATTCCATTTTTAAGACCAAAGTGGTAGTATTTACCAGGATCGACGACCCCCATATTTTCTAAAGAAATAGGTTTAGTTTGTAATAATGTCTTGCTACTTTTGGGCAATGTAATAAAACATTCATGTTTTCGAAGAATACTTAAAAGAGCATTTAAGGAAATATGAGAAATGTTGTAAAGTATTGCCCATTGAGCTAATTCATTACTTATCATAAATGATGTACTAGATAATAAGTTATTAGAATCATCAGTGTCAGATGTGTCTGTAGGAAGAGAACTCTGAAGAGAATCAATATTGTAGTTAAAGAAATCAAAATGTTGTGATTCATTTAATTCTTCTGGAAGTCTATCTACTGTTGTAAATGAAATATTATCCTGACAGTTAGGTGAATTTGAGTTAGAGATTGGTATTTCGTTAAGTAGATTAGATTCCAAAAATAATTGTTGAGGAATAATATGATGGTTGTAGGTGTTTGAAAGAGGATTGAAATAGTCTAACTCTTCTTTAATTTTTCTTCTCTTTGTCCGACTACTGAGAGAGACGGATTTCTTCATGGTATAATATAGATTTAAACAGGTATTTCTACAACAAATCAAATAATAGAAATAAATAATAAATGGTAGGTAGGACATTCAACTGTTTGTTACCAACAACACTATAGTCTTATAAGTCAAATGTACCAACAAAAAAAATTTAAATTATTTAAGTACCTAATAAAATAACTACTGACTACAAATCACAAAAATATTTATTAAAATGTAAATTGTTTAATAATTAAACATTATACAAATACCAATGCTTATAACTAACCAATTCATAAAATTAAACTAGTTGACTTTTGAAGATAATATAGTATCCTTACTTAAAAAATGTATGCATTATTAGATATTATTTTTAATTTTTTACAGCATTTTAAGCTGAATACCAGAATACCCTCGAGAATACCTAAATACCTAATACATGATATGAACAAAAACAAAATTTATAAATTGGATCATTAAGAAATGATTTGTCATTCATTATTTTTTATTTACCTATTTATGTTTTGTAATTAAAATAAAAGGTACCTACAATTGCAAAATAAATTAAATGAACTTAATAAGTTATAGGTACATTACATAAATATTTGTTTTTAGATTTTCAAAAAAAAAAAAAAAACAACTACCAAGGGTAATAAATTATTATAAAGGTACATAAAATGACATTGCATCCACACCTAGGTATAGTATCTATCTTACAAACTCATAACACAGCAAATTCTATGTTCCGGACAATTTATTGAATTCTGTTATATTTAGTATTAGAGTGAATAGACCTGTAGTCAAATTTTAAAGTAAGAATATTAGCTGGTGAATTGTATAGGTTATATTTATATTTTAATTTTAAAGTGAGTTATAAACATTTTAAAATGTACAAAATAAAATATAATATTCACTAGATAATATTGTTAGGTACATTGAAATTTAATAATAGGTAAATTCACTCTAATATTAAACATAACAGATATTATAGATTAGTCAGTGTACAAATTATGTGAACATTTATAAGATGAAGTCAGCACATGTGGATTTACCTATAGCATCCTCAAATTATACCTATCCATGGTAATTTTGAATTTAATTTTAACTCGATTATAAAATTCTCAGTTTTATATGCAATCCCAGTCATTAATTAACAATCAAATAGTTACTTTAAATTTAAAAATAATTTTTTAAAAAGAACTACATAAACAATAAATAGGTTAGGACTGCTTTAAATTAATGTCCCCAATATTTTTTTAAACATGAATAGGTACTTAACTATTAATATTTGTAGGTGTGTTGCCAAACATTTTAATAAAATAATTTACTATTATAAGTTATGGTTATCACACAATCAGTATAACTACCCTACCTACTAAGATTACATTTATAATAAGTTTTTTAGTACCTACCCTAGAAGGTACAAATACTTTTGCTAGGTACTTGTATTTTGGAAACGTATTAAAATATTAGATATACCTAATACGAGGGTTATATTATGGTTATTAGATTAACTAAGAATTTATGAATCAACATGACATGACGACCATAACTATAATTAGGTATATGGTCTATAATTTAACATGATAAAATATTATATAGTTCCAAAATATTTGTCTAGGTTATGTATTCATGCATTGTTTATTGCATAATAAAAATATCTAGGTACCTAACTTAGTATATTATATCAACTGTATTATAATGCTTGCTAGAAACTAATATATAATATTTAATAAATTAGTATTTGATTTTTGGAAAAATTAAGTTTGGCTCAATAATATAATGAATAATGATTCTTATTTTGATCGTCAAAGTGTGATATTAAATAAAAATTAGCCCGAAAACTAGCTGTAGTCTAAGCTAAACTATCTAAAATAGTAAATGTATATTTGAAGATAAATGTTGAGCCGTTACCTAGTTACATAATATATTGTGTATTAAGAATCTTAAAGTTTAAACTACGACCAAACGAAATAAATAATAGGTAATATAAAATAGACTTAAATGTAAACTGAAATTGACCGACTAATGACTAAACTCTTACAGTTACAACTAAAATTTTAATTAAAATAAAAAATAGGTAATAGTACTCACCAGATCACCACTACCTATTTGCATAAAATAAAACGTGAGACGTGAGTTCTGACTTTCTGAGTATAACACTATATAGTAAATAATAATCAGTGTAATACTGTAATAACTGAAATTCACTCTACACTCTGGAGCCATTCAGAGGTTGTGACTTGTGATTCGGTGGCCGGTGGGATATTATCAATGTACTTCATGGTTTGGGGTTTACCCTTAGAAAATATATATAAATTTTACCACTAATTTTAGACGGGTGTATTGAATAATATTCGAATATCGGATAGTCCGCTGTCCCGCACTCCGCAGTCGCTGTCGCCTGTCCCACGCGGCGGCACACGTGACACAGCACACAGCAGCGCCGCAGCGGTGTCTTGAGTTATCTATAATATTGTACTATTTGTATAATATAATATTATATAATATTTTTATGGCGCGGTCGGTGCATACAAACTTAACAATGAATATCAAAAAACCCGCGTCACGAAGGACTATTAAATTGAGACACTGATGAATGATGATATTATCACAATATTATTATCGAATACCGAATACGTAAATCGTATATATTATAATTTATAAATTCATAACATAATAATACTTACCTTACCTTTACCTACCTATTACAATTTAGTTTGGGATTTATAAGTTTAGATTGATAACATAGCAATACATGTAAATGATGCAATCGTAAATACTGAATAATGTCTCGGAAATTTGAGTTTTTCCCGTATAAAGTGTACCGCAGGACGCAGGCGTGCAAAATATATTTAGTACCTACGTCAAACGAATATTATTGTTTGTGCATAGGTATACAGATATTTTTCGTACTGACCGACCGTTTACCACAGTCGCAGTTGGCGACAGACCACAGTCCGATACTACTGTATATAGTGTACTGCAGTCTGCAAGTGTCACGTATGATGTATAATATTTGCGTACCTACCTATTAAATATTTTTGAACCTATACGGCTATACGAAATTATTAAGAAATACGAATATTATATTACGTATAATAAAAATTTATGTGGATAAATTTTAATAAGCACATTGGTATAGGTACATATCCAACATAGTATCCAAATTATGGCAGTATTTAGATATTCCTCTTTACTATCGGAACACTAATTCAATGTCATAAATATGAAATTGTATTTTTTCCATTTATTAAATTTATAAGATTCATTTTTATATTTAATAATACAAATAGGTATAACAAATAATTGTTATAAGTATTATATTTATATCATGGTGTATCATATTTTACTTGGTGTATTACTCTTTGATGGCACCTAATATAATATATTCCTTATAAGTATACGATTTATATACCTACGAAAAACCTTTTATTATAGTTATTAGCTAAAAATATTATTTAGTATTAATTTATTAATATGCATATACTTATACTCAGTGGCGTACACCCCAATAATATACAGGATAATAATAATTATTATAATAACAAACTCAAAATGGTAATTAAGTAAATAGTAAATTGTAAATACATATTAATAGCTACCTATTAGTAATAATTTAATAATTAGTTAATATTATTAACTTATACACGGTTATGAAATAATCCTTAAGACAATATAATTATGATGGTATCTCGTGTATTTTTATAAAATTTCAGATATGATGAAGCTTCCCTTGAGTTCCCCTTAAAAATTATAGTAAGGGTAGGTACGCTATAAAATGTAGTACTCCATCCCCGCCTGCGACCACTCACAATTTCGAGCACTAGCTGGGTATATATTATAAAATATAGGTAGGTTACCGCAAACCACAAGGTACCTAAATATATAGTACGCAAATAATTATGGCACAGCTAAATATATTATATATATATAAATAAAATGAATATTATTATGAACACAAATATAATATTATTCTGTTATTAAAAATATTATTAATAATTAAGTATATTAAAAATAATAAAATATTATTATTAATTAATTACAGTAAAAATATTATAATAGTTTTGTAGTAGTAACCTAATTATAATATATTTTTTTAAATAACGTTATTAATGCCGTATACAAAAAATATTAAAATAATAGTATTAATAGATTACTTAAAAAAATCGCACTCCTAGAACAAGACTGCTACAACTCAAAATGTATAGTTTTGAGAAAAATCAATTTGAAGTTTGGACCTTAGATATTTTAATGAGTTTTTTACTTATGCGTTTGAAATTTAACACTTAAATACTTACAATCATTCTTTATAATATTAATTTTTCAAATAATTTGAAATTCACTCTTAAACCCAAAAATTTAGACTTGTGGCCATTTATAATTTTTTAAGTAAATGCAAGACTGCCATATTTTGAGATGTGACTGTATTTCATACAGAAGTTGTGGCTGCAGTATCACAAATTATAAAATGCAATACTGCCACAACTCTAAATATTGCTGTTTTGCACTCAACATATTACACGATAATTAGTTTTTATTCAGTGCAAGAACGCCACAAGTCGAAATAAGGTAGTCTTGAATTTTGACTTCAGTGATAATTTGGATAAATAAAAATAAGTATACTGCCATAAAGTAAATATGGCAATCTTGCATTGAAAATTAACTAACATTTAAATAATTCCATACTGACACATCTCTATAGTGGCTAAATGAAAAATGATATTGAATGTGGCGCTCTTGCATTTTATAGAGCTTATTTTTCTCTATTCAACAGTAGTCATAACTCAAAATTGATGAATTTTGAGTTGTGGCAGTCTTGTTCTAGGAGTGCGAAATATTATATTAATTAAGTAATTGTGATATAATTATAACATTATTTTTCTAATAATATTATTTATAATGTAAAAACAATAATATTATATTATTATCATTACACATTTTCTATCTGGTATGTTTCGATAATCGCAGTCGGACTGCCACCACTCCATCCGCCAATGGCGAATAGAACTTCGGATGGGATAGCGCTGTCGCTCGCACGTCCCAGGTATCCATCCGAAGTTCTAACTATCCATCCGAAGTTCTAACTATCCATCCGAAGTTCTATTCGCCATTGGCGGATGGAGTGGTGGCAGTCCGACTGCGATTATCGAAACATACGACACAAAGTCCGACCGATGGACGAGGATATTCGAAGAAGACACTCAAGGGCCGAGAGCGTACCATGGCACGATCGTCATAAATCAGTACATCTACATAATTGGAGGTTTTGATGGGCTGGAGTATTTCAACTCTTGTAGGAAGTTCAACACGATCACAAGAACGTGGGAGGAAGTAGCGCCGATGAACTGTAAAAGGTATAGTTATTTTATTGTATAACACTCCTAGATCGTTCGCCATTTTTTGCATTTAACCTGCAAATAAGTTTGTGTGTTTACACCGCTCTAGAATTTGTCAACCGATGAAATAGGTAGGTACTGCGAGTGAATATAGTAAACCTCCAGCATTTCACATGGACATTATGTATACAATTATTATTTATGACTCAAGGTCAGACTCTAATGCACTATAAATTATTATAGTCGTTTAATATAATATATTCTATACAATTTTAAAATATGTTTCTTAATATTTCCTATAAAACGTATAATAATACGCTTATAAAACATCTAAATATGCTAAAAAGTATCAAAATATACACTTAAGTCTAAAGTATGCATTAAAACTGTTAAAAATTTAAAATAAATATAAAACATTTTATTGTATGTATCAGTGTCTAACACAATGTTCTGTCATTATTTATAATATTATTGAACTCACATTTAACAAATGTATTAGGTACAGTGACTTCTCTAGACACCTATAAATGTACTGCAGAGCGTTACCCAGTTGTTGCCCGCTTTATTTACATTTATATTAAATCATATATTTTATACATGGACAAATAAATTATATAAAACAAAATTGTGTACCTACATCAAAAATATTATTAATATTTATGTCTACCTTTATCATTGTTGATTATTATTTACCAACGTAGATGTTATGTCAGCGTTGTGTTGTTAGACGGCATTATTTACGCAATATGTGGATTCGATTGCCATCACCGGCTGGGCTCCGCAGAAAAATATAATTTCGAACGAAACCAGTGGACGATGATAGCACCAATGACTTCTCAGAGGAGTGACGCCTGTGCAGCTGTGCTGTGTTGAATGGTGAGTTTAACGTCTCAACAATCTAACTATACCGCATGTGATTATTATAATAGTAGATCTTATAAATATATAATTATAATATATATATGGGAACACGGGGCAGGACGAAACACGTAATGTTAATGTTGAATTTTTCAGAAATATTCTAAATTTATGTACCTACCAATTATAATTCAATGTCCCATAGTTTTATAATTGTTCCCTTTAAAATATTTTAACAATATTATTGAAATCAAAAAAATTATCAAAATAAAAAACTTAATTTGTCCCACCCATCCAAATTATGGGGAAGATGAGAGAGATATATTTTTAAGAGCTGTATGATTTAACTCAAAAAGTACCAAAGTTATACCAAGTTTGACGTTTTTACTTAATTTTACCTACCTATAAATCCCAACCTAACCTAACCGTACTAAAATCCGATGAATAAAAAAAACCAAATTTAACCCTTTTTTTAATTAGCGTATCTTCTTCCCATAGGTCTAATCTACACACCATAATTCATTTATACATAAGATATATTGACAAAAAATAATAATACAAATCAACAAACATGCCCGATTAACCAATAGCAACCAATATAATATACTACACCATGGAGTAAATAAAGACAACGGTATCGAGTTCAAATCCTAGACATCAATAAATAGTTTTTGCAGTTTTTCTAATTATTCGGTTGACTTTTTAAAAATTTTCTTTCGTAAAAACCTTCAACTGGCAATTATGAACATCTTAAAAAAAATTTGAGCAAAATCGGCCCAGCCGTTCTCAACTGATGCAATTTCGAATTTTTTGTCTCCATTTTTATATATATAGATTATTTGTTATAGCCTGTAAGTTGAATAAATATTATAATATTATAAAATTATTTTTTATTCGTTGCTACGGTGGTAGAAATTAAAATCTAATTTTTAGCGGTTATTTAATTTTTCGGTGGTTTTTACATTGGCATTAAATAACTATTGATAAAATCGAAAAATGACCTCTTTAAAGTACCATCTTGATCAAATTTTCTAAAAGATAAGGTACTATATATTGAAATCATCGAAAGACTCGTTCTGGTAGACATTTTGTATACAGGTTATAAAAATAAAAAAATAAATAAATAAATAAACATCATTGTAAAAACACTAGCTTCCTCGCTCCTCTCAGAATCTAAAATATGAAAATATGAAAAAAATCTGGAATATTATAATTATTTTCTAATTTTTCATGTAATCATAATGTTATTAATATTTTGCATATTATTTATTCACGTGTTATATGCAATAATACTGATATGCTCAGTAAATATCTCAGGTAAATTTCAATTATGGAAATTGAAAATGTGGCGAAAATGTTAATATTTTTATATTTTGTACATATTAAATTACGCAATTAAATACACCTATTGATGATGACAATTATAGAACTTATAGATGCTATTATAAATGGCAAAATAAACTATTTAAAATTAATCATATTATTTATTATTTGATAATTATTTATACATATATTTATTAAAATTTTTAATTTTAAATATTAAATGCTATGGCGATTTACAACATACATCAATGTAGGTGTAAATTATAGGTATCTACATTGTTTTTCAAAATCTTTATATCTAATGCTGTAATTTATACATTTTAGTAATAATTGAATTTTTTAAGTATTATTTAAAACTAATATAAATTCAAAGTTCTACTTGAGCTGTATGTAATTATAGGTAAATATAATTATTGATTTCCAACAAATATTTTTTATTGCCGGTGGGTATTATGTGAATTATATCAGCAAGTGAATATTGTTATGATTTATGATATTTTTTCATATAAAAGGCTATAAATGTTTTGGTAATATTATAATTCTCAAGAATTATAAAAAGTACCTACAATTTTGCAATGAGTTTACTGCTATTTTCTTACTTGGACTTGATTAAAACGTCGTCATAATTAAATTTTAAAAAATAATTGAATTATTTGGTATTAGCAATGAAGAAAATAACAATTCAAGCTGACTTCGACTTATCTTCTTTTATTCCATGTCATATTACTATAATATTATATTGTGTCAACCCTACAGAATATTATTTCGTGGGTTCATTATATTATAATACAAAAAATATTTTCCAAAAACCTCCAAATGTTTTTAACCTTAATTCTTTGTCTAGACATCATTATTATTTAACATTCGTTTATACGTCTAATGTAATGGATAGCCGGTATGTGACACACCCATCCGTGGAATGCGACGTTATATTTTAATATGTGATTAGTAGAGATGCGATTCAATTAAATGTTGATTAAAAGACACAAAATATATGCTTTTTTACCAGAAGTAGAAATCTACTAAGCATGTCGTTAAAATATGCTTTGCAAACTATGAGTATTTCTACATAATATAGCGAATTGTCTATGTTTAGGATATAATGGTACCTATGACGTTCTAAATCGAGGACAAAAAGCCCATAAAAATTAACACACCGCAGAAAAAAATTCACCATGGAAAAAAGCCCACGGATAAGAAATTCAACGAAAAAAAATTAAATATAAATATATATTTATCTTTTTGGTATAAATGTATAATAAATATAAGTTTGAAAAATATAATCGCAAGTAAAAAATGTACCTATTATGAGTTATGACAGCTAGCCTGTTCATCTTTCTAATAAAACCAAGTATAATATGATATTATAATTATAATTATCCATTTAATTGATTTCAAAATGAAATTATATGAGATTTACATTTTATTTGTATATTTTAAAAAATAAATTGTTTTTCTAAATATATTCTAAATACCTATGTGTATGTTAAAATTGTTTATAAACCATGTATACCTAATATTACAACAGGATAGAATTAATTATACTAGATGAAACGAATATTATAAAAGCTTTAAATAGGTAATATTGTTTACCGCCATAGTACCTAAATAATATCTGTGTATGTCGTGGACAACCAAAATGCAAGCGGAAATATATTATTAGGTATGCCATTATATAGCGGTGAAACTTATGAGGGGTATAGGTGTCTAGCTATTATTTGAAATAAATTATCTACTGCAGTAGACGAAAATATAAAATTAACTTAACATGCCAATAATGTTACTGCATAACACACCGCGGTTGAGTTATAAGTTAATTCTGAAAAAAATAACTAGTTATGTAACACTCAACTTTAACTTTTGAACTAGTTAATTGCCAGCCTACCATAATACCTACTGGCTACTGTGTTGTCATTGTTTCTCGAATGCTAATATCATTTAATAATATATAAATATATACTTGGCCATAAAACAGTTTAAACATGTTTAAAATAGTAATAATGTCAAAACAATAACACATAGTTATTACTAAAATAATATTTAACTATATTATATAACTATTAACTAAAATATTGAGACCAATTCAACACTAAGGTATAACCTCGTATTGGTGAAATTGGAGTCTCATCAATTACATTATGGTTTATTATTAATTAACAATCGTAAAAAATAAAAGAAAAAAAGCAGAATGATGATATACAATTTTATAAAATATATTATGAGAAAACAATAAAGAAATAGCAAGTTCATGATAATTTTTAATTGATTTAAGTGAAGTTGATAAATAACATTTTAAAAAGTTTAATCTTTTAAAATTTTAAGTTATTTTATTTTTTTTTTACTCAGTTTAGTTAAAAGCAGAGATTGAAACAGTTTCAACTTTTAACAGTTACGGTTTAAGTTTTTGGAACGGTTTTCTACATTTTCTGGTTCTAATTTAGGTTTTAAGATCAATTTTTTTTTAAGATTTTAGGTTTTAGTTACGGTTTATAAACTTTTTTTTTTGAAATATTTATTATTAAAAAGTAACAAATTTAAAAAATGTAAATAAAGGAGGTTTTTGTGCCTTTTATAACAGGCCGTATTTTTTGTTGTTATTTAAATATTTCAAAACGTTAGTAGGTGCCTAGATTAGTTTTAGTATTTTATAATTTAAATGATTATAATATTGTAGATTCTGAGTGAAACGATGAATGTATTGATTTTAAAATGATGTGTGGTTTTTTTTCTTGTGTGTCTGACATCACGGTTTGGGGTAGTAAAACTGCTTCGATTTTCTTCAACCGTATCTGGTTCGATGGGAAAATGAATCTATAGTTCGTATATTCGGGAGGTAAAATTTTAAAATTCACAATAGTTTTCACAAGTGCCAGGAAAAAC